AAGAAACAAATATATCTTGAGATATATTTGTTTCTTTGTTCTTCCACTGTTCAGCATTATTCATTCTTCCTTTAATTTCTTGCAGAAGTACTACTAAAATAAAGGGAGGAAACATCCGTGAATTGTCCTTGAAATGTTAATACTCTATACTTCAGAATCTATCTGGATAAAGTTAGAAAGAACCTCTTAAGGAGATATCCATCATCTACTGAATATCTTATCCATTAATATCATAACACTTAAAAGGAAGTCACTTTTAAAACAACCCCAGGGCTCATAGAGAATTTTTTTCTCTTTTTTTCTTTGCAATTTTCAGAATGGCAGAGCCAATTTGTCATTCCATGTAAGAAATGACAGCACTCATCCATCTTAACAATTCTTCCTGGTAGTTTTGCACATTAAGTCTCAGTGTCCAATAAGATGAAACAATGGTCATCTAGGACACAGGGACACACACACACACACACACACACCAGAATTGTGAAACAATTAGTGAAACAACGATCTGCAGTAGCTTGGATGAGAATTTAGTACAGATACAGCATCATACATCTCCAAATCGTTTTTTTGTTTTTTTTAGTTAAGTAGGTTGTGTAATGCAGTGGTGGAATTTGGTGGGTTTTTTAAAAGATAACTGATTTCATGCAAATGCCTTCTTTGGATTCTAAATCCAAAGGCCTATGAAACCAAGAGATGTAATATCCTACTAATATTTTAAATGCTAGTTAGTTTTTCAATCTTAAATAAGGGACACTTTATGACTAGGTACACTTATTACACCAAAATATAAAAATTGTTTTTGAATATCAGATGGCTTAATTTGTACAATAAGCTAAAATAAAATAACTATGGATTATAAATTACACTGAGTCTATAAAATCAATTAAGCCAAAACTAAACCATCTTAAGCTTGTTTAGTGCACAAAGTAAATCTTGTTGCTGTTAAAACTGAATGCATCTCATATTTGAAGTTTTAAGTGAAGAAAGAGGTAGCATAATCTGCTCCCAAATAGGACTGGACAGTGAAGTCGAAACTATTTTCTGTATTTTCCCATATAGCTGCCTTTTCTAAAATACTTCCAGGAACTTTAATTATTTATTGTGACTATAAATAGTCTTGTATTTGCAGTTCTCTGCATTAAAAACATGAAATGTAAATTAATAATAAAACAATGACAGTAGGATCAGATGAAAGCAAGATTAAATGAACAGCAATCCAAACCAAAATTAGTAGCAAGATTGAACAATACAAATTACAGAATCTACTTTTGCACAAATAACTAAAAAATGAGACAGCCACTTTTTAAGATCCAGTTATTTTCCTTGATCCATATTCTAAAGATAAACCAGGGAGCCAGTTTGGTGGAGTAGTTAAATACCAGTCTACAAACTAGGATAGTGTGAGTTCTAGCCCCCCTTGGGCAACTTTGGGTTGATAAAAAAAAGTTGTGAAAAAATGCTAAGAAAGAAATATTAGGAAAATTATTAAGAAGGTTTCACTAAACCTTTCAAGTCTATATCTATCATTACAGCAGGGATGTTAACATCACAATAGCTATTATTAAAACTTTTACTGTATCTAGTTCTATATTTTGTATTTTTAAGTTGATCTGCATTTATGAAACTGACTTTCAGTTCACTAAATTCTCCAGACACCATACTCCATGTTTTTGGAAACCATCTAATAACTTACTGATACACTGCAACAATTTTGCACAGAATTTATTGAATGTATTGGATCACCTTTCAAGAGTGCAGTTTTTTAAATTTCTTATTACAACTACCCTGTAAAATAAGACCTTCCCGGATAATAAACCCAATTGGGCTTTTGAGTGCATGCGCTGAAATAAGCCCTGCCCCTAAAAGCCAACACAGTTCTAGGCTACATAAACAGAAGGATAGAATGAAGATCACGTGAAGTGGTAATATCACTTTATAATGCCTTGATAAGGCCACACTTGGATACTGCATTCAGTCGCCACGATGTAGAAAAGATGTGGGGACTCTAGAAAGAGTGCAGAGAAGAGCAACAAAGATGATTAGGGGACTGAAGACTAAAATATATGAAGAACGGTTGCAGGAACTGGGTATGTCTAGTTTAATGAAAAGAAGGACTAGGGGAGACATGATAGCAGTATTCCAATATCTCAGGGATTGCCACAAAGAAGAGGGAGTCAAACTATTCTCCAAGGCACCTGAGTGTAGAACAAGAAGCGATGGGTGGAAATTAATCAAGGAGAGAAACAACTTAGAACTGAGGAAAAATTTCCTGACAGTTAATCAGTGGAACAGCTTGCCTCTAGAGGTTGTGGGGGTTGTGAATGCCCCAACACTGGAAGTCTTTAAGAAGATGTTGGATAGCCATTTGTCTGTAATGGTACAGGGTTTCCTTCCTAGGCAGGGGGTTGGACTAGAAGACCTCCAAGGTCCCTTCCAACTCTGCTATTGTATTGTATTGTAAAATAAGCCCTCCCCGAAAATATTGCAACACAGCAGCAGCCATGAAGTGACCACGCTTGCCGCCTCCTGCACCTCAGAAGTAATAAGACCTCCCTGAAAATAAGGCCATGCATTTATTTCGAGGCTCAAAAGAAAATAAGGCCCTGTCTTATTTTCGGGGAAACATGGTAACCTTACACAGCATGGTTGTTGAATAGGCCAAAATGGATTCACATATCATGATCATACTAAGACTTGAGTAATGATTAACAATATTCTATGATCAGCCATGATATAGTCTCCAAATTAACCCAAACATGACTTGCAAAACCATCCTTCATACTTGAAACATTGTGCAAATCCAGAAAAACAGGTTTTGTTCAAAAAGAATGGTTAACAAATAATAGTTTTATGAACATAGGTTGCCAATTTATATCAAAGTGCATCACTCATTAAGACATATTCCAGCAAAAGCTGTGACTATTCAAGCTATAATCAAATCCTTAGCCAAGACATGGATGGATGGATTATGGTAATCAGGTTCTGAGGAAATATGCCCTATGATTTGTCGTCTTAAATAGATTATTAATAATTACTACAATTTGGGAGCAATTTCAAAGAAGAAGTTTTGGGGAAATCTTGGAGCTAGACAAATATGCATTGCTAAGCTTTGACAAGTCAATTTTGTACCTAATTCTATTCATCCAGTCACCTATCTTTGAAGATTAAGAAAAAAACTACTCATAGCTAAAAATTTGAATTATTAGCAAGAAGAAATAAAAATGTTACCATAATAAATTAGCAAGCAGAAATAAAGGATATTTTGACTTGTCATTAAGTCAAAATTATATCATTACCTACTGATGTAGATGATAGTGCAAACAAGAAAGCTTTATTCACTACTTTCAAGAACTCTATTTTATGTTGTTTGTTTTCCCTTTAAAAACTTGTGTGTGTGTGCAATGCTCGATACATTTGACATTATCCGTTGCTCTTTATTTATTCAGAAAACAGAAACTTGTCCCATTATGCATTCTATCCTCTATTTCTTTTTGTTTAGTCCTTTTTTGTGATCCTATTGTTTAGTTTGTCAAAGATCCAGATTGGTTGGATATCAATGTCAGAAAACACCCTTAATATTTTCATGCAAAACCAACCATAACTTTATCATATAAATTATTCATAGCTAGAACAAATGTGTTTTCTGTGCATGTATACAAGATTGAACACAACTATTAATTTGTTCTAGAAAAACAGAGGCTCATATTTGCTGAAAGTTGGTTTATTTACCTGAAAGGTCTAAAATTATAAATGACTTTAAATACACTATAATTGCCTCCTTAGGAGTCATAAATATTCAGTGCACTTCATCAAACAGAAATATACAAGTTAGTAAAGTGACATGACATTGATTGCAATTTTACACAGACACAAGTAATGCAAATTCCATTTTTCATTTTCCACTTAGATGGAAATCGGCAACGGTTTGCCATGTAGAAAACCTATAGGTACACAATTATCAACTAACTTTAGAAGCAGATGGAGATCAAACCTGTACTTTACATCTCATCAAGAAGTTTCTTAGTGCTAAAAATATTTTTTTCTTGACTACAACTGGATTTAGAACAAAAAAAAATAAGGTGAGAATGAATTTTTAAGTTGTATCAACATTCTGGTGACTCTGGCATTCTGAACATTATAGAGATATTATTCTAGTAAATTAAAGCAGTGTGCCAATAAAGGAGAACATTTGTAATTCGGGGTTGAAATGAGTGCTCCTTCGTGCCCTCTGAGCTTGGAGGGTTGTTGCTTTTTTTGCAGATGTTTTATTACACAAACACTGTAATATCAGTGCTAGCAACGAGTAGAATTTGATCTCAGTTTATATTCTAGTGACTTGCCCTGACATGTTGATAGGAGTGATTTTACAGGTTCCGTGGCTGGCCTGCTTACTGTTACCTTGTTTGGGAATTCCTCATTTGGGATATTGTTTACTTCTTGATTGTTGGTCTGATGTTAATCTTGGAGTTAAATCTATATTCATCTGGATGCTAACTGCTGGTGAAGTGGGGGTGTTTCGGTCTTTTTGTTCCCTTTTTGGCTTGTTGAGTGTCTCTTGCATAGTATGTAGATATTGTTTATGTCTATGTCTCTATCAATGGCTAATTTGTCAGAGTGCCAGACTTCTAGAAATTCTCTAGCGTTTTTGAACTTGGCTTGGTCTAGGATGGCTACAGTTTCCCAGTTGAAACTATAGTTAAGTCTGCCCATATGCTGTGCAATTAAGGAGTTTTCATCATGTCTTCTAACTGCTAGTTGGTGTTCATGGATGTATTTTATCAGTCTTCTACCTGCTTGTCCTATGTAGTGACTCTTGCAGTCATTACACAACAGTTTGGGGCAATGAAAAGTCTGCAAGAAAACAACCAAACTCAAAGGGCACCAAGGACCCCTTAAAGCAATTTGGCAATAAGACAAATTCCTTCCAAATCAAGGTTAAATTCATATACATCAGATCACAATTGAAAGAGCACCTTAGTCACCTTTGGGATGACTATGATCTGGATAACTAAGAATCTCTATATACATAGAACTGTATCTATATTGACAGGCTATTTTGAGTTGTGATTCTTCAAGTCTTTGAGATAATAATCTGGCAGCTACTGAAAGCAAGTGTACTTGCAGTTGGCACTAAAAGGAATTTTGGCACATTCAACATTAAAATCAATAGGTATAGACATGTCTAGGTCTGCAAAGGATCAATCAGCTATAGGTAATACTTTGCAGATAGAAATGTATTTAAGATTGAGATTTAGGATAGGAACTGGTGACAGTTCATCAATATAACTATTCTCCTTTTAATTGTAGATGTAAACAATTTATTACAGCCCTATAGTTCATTATTTGGGTGTTTGCTATTCAGTTACTGACAGAGTTTAATGTACAGAGCCATCAACCAGAAAACATTAAGCGACTATAAGGCAATTAGAGATTAAAGTATAGTTTTACCACAAAATTATTAAAACAAGAATATAAATTCACTCGTTTCTCCAGTCCTGTAACCTTAATTTACCTTGGTTTACAATTTTTTGATGGCAGTCTTTCTACTGAATCACAGTAGGTAGCAAATCCCCTTCTCATATCCTAATGTAAAAAATAACACAGCATGTAGATGAGGAAATTGAAATAAATATTTATGTGTTCTATATGTAATGGTTATTTTTTAAAAATCAGTAATTAATATTTTGTATATATTAACATTGAAAAAATGTTATTAAAATTATAATATGAAATGTGCTGAAAATTGCAAGCTATTTATTTAAACAAGTTAAGCATTTATCCAGTAAATATATTTATATAATTATTTTAAATTTTTTCTTAAGAGATTTGCAATGTAGTCTACTAGCAATGCCCCAAGAACAGAACGCAAACTGATATTTTTCCTTGCATAAGTCTACTAATACTTTGCAGAACTGTTAGTGTTAATTCACTATTAGAAAATTAAATTCTTTATAAATCAAGTGGAGATATAAAAAGTATTTTAGGTTTGCTTGTTTTTAAAAAAGCAATCCAAAATATAATGCAACATTGCATTTTTTGTAAACATATCAAAATATGGTAGAGATAATACTTTATGTGACAAGAAAGTTAACTGTTTCCTTCTTTATGTTTAAAATCACACTATCTCTGAAAAGAAATTTGAATTCACAAAAATGATTTTAAAAAACATGCTCTGGTAACACACCAGAATTCATTATTGACTTTGAACAATAATGATAATCCTCATGTCTATGCTTTGAATTCAATTTCCAATACATCTACTAAAGTAACTCAAATCAAAAGTTCAAGTGGAGCAGAATTCCTACTACAAACTTTAGGTTATTTTTCTTTCAAAGAAAACCGCAACAGCAATGTTGCTTCAATGTATGGCAAATCTCAAAGAGTTTTGTGATGTATATCCAAGTATTTTTCAATCTTCTTTGAGATGTGTATATGCTTGTGAGTATCATACAGGAGATACAAAAAGGTTAAATAAAGACACTATTTGAGAAATTGAACTGGACAAATTCTAAATCTGTCCTGGAATCAAATACTGTATCAAATACCACTTTTAAAAATCTTTGCACTATTAGATTTTGAAATATTTTACAGTGCACCTGAGATCCTGCACATGAATGGAGATTTAGCAGAGAGCAACTGATCCAGGCTGTAATTCACAAAGTGAAAAATGGCCAAACTCACGTTTCAAAATTATATCAATTTTCCATGTTTTTTAATTCCATCCTTTGGGGGGGGGATAATATTAGATCTTTTCATCCCTTTGAATATTATATCTGCTATAAAATAAGCATTTACTGTAGCTCTTCTTCCTCTTCCATGGGCTTGATTTTCTAATACTTCTTATAAAAATCTACCTTTTCTTTTTAATAATTGCTAGGCAAAGCATTCTGAATTTTCCTGCAGTTATACTCAAGTGAGATTTCAGTTTTAAAAACAGGTACAAAAGGGAAGACCTTTTTGTGAGAGACAAAAAACACACAAATCCACAAAGGAGGATGTGGTATGCTGTTACCCTTTTGGTTTTGCTGTTACACTTCAAGGAGCAATAGCATCAGACAAACTATTTTGGCATTAGTATAGTAGCAGTTTCAAATTCACTTAACTTATCCACAGGGTGACACATACAAATCCAACCAGATTTTCTTTTACCCTCTGGTTGATCTCTTAGCTCACCATCTCATATGGTTCCATTCTACAGGTCAGGTTACAGTCATAACAGGCCACACTAACTAACATCAAATTCACCCCCATAGACCATCTTATTACTAAAGTGAGATTTTGTTCAACGTGTAGTAAATTCTGTCCTATGTTTTAGCAGATATTTGGCAAAAATGTAAAGAAGGAAACAGTTCTAAAGCTGTTTCAGAGTGTAATATAATGAAAAATACGGTTGTCCCTTATGTTCTCCTTACTACAAAAATATTTGAGACAGAAAAAAGCTATCTAGAACATATTGTACAACTCTATATGAAACATCTGTTCCTCAAATTCCATATGCAAAATGACAAAAATATATTCCTGTAAATTGTTCTTCATTTTAACTCAGGAATGGATAAAGGTGTTTGGAAGAATAGCTGTGTTTGGAATAATAGCTGTCTTAATCACATGTAGCAAAGATAGCAGATAACAAAATTGATATATAAAAACTTGGTGAGATAATAAAGGCAACTGTATGTTACATCATGCAAAGTGGAGAATATCACCTTAATAACTAGTGAAAACATGTTTCAGACAAGAATCTACTTGGTTCATTACATACAGTCCTTCCACCAATCTGTAAAGAAATAACACAAGCAATAGTTGCTGATTTTATCATGTAAACATTAGCAAAAAGAAGAAATTAACCTTCACCTTACTATCCTCAGGTGTCAAAGTAGCAAGTTGACAATCCTTCTGGTTTTAAGATAAGTAACATCCTGTGGTGAATCAAATGCCATGAATGGAAGGAGAGAGGAAGGCTAATTTCCCCTGCTGAAACAGCTGAATGGACTAGGTTCATCTCAAAGACAATTATATGGTACCAAAAGTGGATACTCTGTGAATTGGTGTAAAGAGAAGGATAAAAAAAACCAAAGGCATCTTCTACTCTAGGTTTGAAGAGAGTTGATAGTATGGAATGCCAAAATCCAAAAAGATAAAAACATCAAAGAGCAAAGCATCAAAGCAACAACATACATTGAATGATGAGCTGCAAAATCCATTCCTCTGTGATTGTACAAGCTAAGTTATATCATTAGGTATTATCAGCACAGTTATTTTCCAGCACAAGAAATATTGTAGGAGCTTTCTCTTAGAATTACAGAGAAATTCTCCTTGTATCTGTGTCTTAACAGTTTCCAAATATTTATGTTCCTCAAGTTACCTGCAACAGTATTTTTCTTTTCTTTTTTTTCAGAATTCAAACCATTGCCATACCTTAACCATCAAGCTAAAGAATGGCATGGTCATTATTATAATTAAATAAAAGCCTTCCCATTTTGCTTAAGCAACAACTGACTCAATGCAATCCTATACATGTCTGGTCAGAAATGTCTTACTAAGCTTTATGAATCTTACTCCCAGGTACCTGTTTACAAAACTGTAGCAAAAAAACCAGCACAGAACTTTTAGTTCACAGCCCCTGGGTGGGATATGATGGGTGACAAAAGCCCCAGGGTGGGATATGATGGGCGACCATTAAAATATATTGCTATGATTATAATCTGAAATTGGCTCCAACATTGACAATCACATGTTTTTCATAGACCTTCTTCATGGTTCTCTCAATTTGTTTCAGAAAAACTTGTGGAATTCGCCCACATAAAGTGTGTACAGTATTGAGGAACTTGGTCTGGAGAGGATAGTACATCGACTGGAAGAGATTGTCTTCAAAGGAAAACTAAAGAGGAAAAAGATACAAAAATGTAATCAGCAACCTTAAATCGTTGGTTCATGGTTGATACTTATAAGTGTCATCAACTCCTACTTGGCACCAATATAAAACACATAGTCTGACTCTTATTTATTCCATCTCCTCATCCTCATCTTTAGTAATTTTTTATATTACTTTAATACAATCTACTGGCTATCATTATCATCCAACTTTTTGTTCTTTTTTGTCATCATATATTTAAGCATTAATTCAGAAAAGTACCACCTTCAATTTTTTTTGACTTGAACATTGGGATAAACTGAGCTGGGGCTCTTGATTCTGAATCTGGCTGAAGAAGTTGTGTTTTATATGTCTGGCATTGTATTACAGTAAAAAATTGACAAAGTCTCTGGGGACAAATATGGTATCATGGATGGAGTTCTATAATAGGAGCAAGAGGTCCTAATTTCAAGCATCTATGCAAGTATAACATTCACTGAAAATTCTGAGTAAGTTAGAAGCTCTTAGCCTATTCTACCTTCCGAGATTCTTGTAACAATAAAACCCATTACTGATACAATATATTGCAGCCTTATTTTATGCAAGAACTTGTGTTTTCGCAAAACATCACTTACATCACGTATCACTTCATAGAGTGCTTTGAAAGTAGGTTGTTTATCATCATGATAGACTCCTCGATTCCCATGCAGAATTGAAATGCCTTCTTCTTCTGCTCCTTTGCAGTTACTGCCATACATGCAGTGATCTGGTCGATAATTCCACTGACAGGGAAAGAGATAGAGACATTCTAAAAGGAAGTAAAATAAAAGCATATAAAAGAGAGAGAAAAAATTAGCCAAGAGTAGAATGACTCTTTTTTTATGACCCCGTAACCCCTTAATTTTTGGGGGGGGAGGGGAGGGAGACTGGATGAAGCTGAGAGTTTATTGGCCAGATGTCCTTCCTGACACCATGTGGAGTTCGCAAAAGATTTTTTTTCTTTCTGCCCTAGGAGAGAGACGTCTTCCACTACATAGGAGTGAACTCTCAGCTTTCTGTGGCAGACGACCGTCTTCACCCCTAGGCACCACACTACTCTATTATTCAGGAATAGAATGATGTATAGGAATTAGCTTTAAATACAAGACATGGAAAGAAATCAGAAAAAAATAATAATTTTGTAATAATATTATATAAATGATGAATCCAAATATACATAATTCTTATTTTTTTCCTGCTTGCTCCAATCAGTATGGTTTTTTAGATAGAATTTGCAAAAGGTGGAGACTTCCAATGATTGGAAAAAGTTGTAGAAATGTATTATGGCATAAAGGAACAATAATGCAACCCGCATACTTGGAGAGTCTCAATTTTTTAAAATTATTATTTTATGCTCAAAGTTAAAATAGTGCTATCATTATATTACAATATCATATACTTATAAAGTATGCACCTGGATTGAAGTAAAAAATAATATTTAGCAAGTCCTGGTCTCCCCACGTAATGTAATTTTTATACTTTTGGTATAAAGGGTACAACATCTCTTCCCATTTCAAGCCTGTTGGTATTAAGTTGTTCTGAAATAGAGAAATAAATGATTTGATAAAGAAATTGTAACCACAAATTTACAATCGTAGCAGGAGGAAGCTATAGCCATGGTGTTCCTTCTACCTGGGTTCAGTGACTAAACAATATGAAAAAAGTTGCTTTCAACAAGATAGGAATGAGAAGTCATTTTTTCTAAATATGACAAACCAGAAACCTACCTTAGTGTTCTGCCTGACAAATATTCAATCCCCACTGGATGTGATAGCTAAGGATTATGGGAGCTGAAGTCTAACATATCCAAAGGGTATCAGAAGGACTGGCTACACTGATAGTATTCTTAATGTGGCAATCCTTTGTGTAGAAGCATTTGAAAGCCTATAGTTCATGCGCTTTTACAGAGGCACAATTGAGAGCATTTTAACAAACTGCATCACTGTTTGGTTTGGTGGCAGCAGTGCCTCAGATAGAAAGTCCATACAGAGAGTGGTAAGAACAGCGGAGAAGATTATAGAAAGCTCGCTTCCTATCATTAATGTACATTCAAAGTGACAATAAAGTTATTCTAAGTCCTCTAAATCTTCTGCCGAAATAACTATTCTTTAACTATCTGTCTTAGAACCAGTTTGCATACTTATTGATCTGTGTGGTGCACATTTCTAAAAAAACATAGTCCATGTTACATTTTCATCATGCCAATGCCATCTGTACAGAAAGAAGCTAAAGTCCACAATCTGTCAAAGTTTTACACGACTAACAAGATATGGAGTAAAAATCAACTATACCCCAACAAAGATATTCTTCCCAAAAGAAATAAGTGATCTCCTTACCTTGAATTGGGTATTTCTTATTCGGGTTAAATTCATTAGCATGACACCAGAATTCACCCCAGTGGTTCCATAATATGGGTGGCGAGCAAAACGACTATACCAGCCAATCTTTGGTATTTCATGTTCCGGTGCCATTGCAGCCAGCTGGGTGGCATTAAAAGTTCTCAGAAAGCCCCAAATGTCATCAATGGGTCGCAGGAATAAGACATCGGTGTCCACATACAGAAGGGAATCTACATCCTTCAAAATCATCTTGGTTGAGAAAGCCCAGATGGTTGAGAAAGCCATATACACAGGAAAACAAAAATAAATATATTGAAGACTCACCAACAGATATACCAATCACAAGGCAATACCTCTGACCTGCCTTTCTGTGCACCAGCTTTATTTTCCTTTTAGTGTTAAGGAAGTTACTTTCTAACAGTTACAAGGAAGAGTTAAAAGGAAAATAGATTTAGAATTGACAGTTATTAAAGAAGTGAGGCCTTTGAACTGTGGTGCTGGAGAAGACTCCTGCGAGTCCTTTGGACTGCAAGGCGATCAAACCGGTCATTCCTAGAGGAGATCAATCCTGACTGCTCTTTAGAAGAACAGATTCTGAAGATGAAACTCAAATACTTTGGCCACCTAATGAGAAGGAAGGACTCAATGGAGAAGAGCCTAATGCTGGGAAAGATTGAGGGCAAAAGAAGAAGGGGTGGCAATTAAGAAA